AACTGGCAAACAAGCATTGTGTGTGTATATACATATATATATATATTTTTTTTAAGGGTTAAAGTGGTGTGTGTTTCATTTGCCCTGTTGCTGTGAGGAGGCAGGAGGGTTGTCAAGAAAGGATACCTTCCAACATTTAGTAATTACTGTTTTCTTAGATGTCAGATATCCCACAACAGCTGGGTGTCCCCCTTTTCTTTTTCTAATGGCTGTTGATACTCTAATCAAGAGTCAAAATTTCACAGCTGACTGCACTGTGAAACGCTCACTCACCTCTCTTGGGAAGCTGCAGTCAAACAGAAATTTTAAGTATGATGTCTTTTCTATGCTTTTGTTTAATCCATCATCTCCAAAGATTCCTTCTTCTACAGGTTTCTATTACAAATCTAGTGTTTAGAGATTGTCATCTTCTTCTTCCAGCTGCCAGTTAGTCAGAGTTGATGTTTGTGGGCTGTGTTTGTGCTTAGGCCTGACCCAGAGGTAAAGCTGGTGGTGCTCAGTGGGATTACCCCTGGAGCTGTATTTTCTGGTGCTCTGGAACTGGACAAACCAACTTGCTGCTGGTATTGCCTGACTGCAGATCACAGCTTCTGTCTCCCCTCAGGTACAAGTCACAGGGGTGAGGCTGTTGTCTGTGAGGCAATTGTGGCCAAAGGTTACCCAAAATAAAAATATAAAAAATGCAAATTGCATCATCATCTGATAGTTTTGGTGAGAAAGCTGTTGTTAAGGCGGAAGGTGGATTTACTGGACTAGGAAGTCATGCCCCTTGTGAAACTTCTTTGCAGTTTTCAATTCTTAAGGTAACTGTGAAAAAGAAGAGAGGATGACAGTCTCGGTTAAGGCTCTTTGTCCTTCCCTTTGAGATTTCCTGTGTATATATAAACACCACAAACACTAAGGAATTAGGCTAGCCATTGAAATTTCTGGCTGCTGTCAGCATGGGTCCCACGTTCAGGAAATTTAAGCCTGTATTTGAGTCTCTAGTGTTTTGAATACTTAGAGTTTGCTGGATGTCACCATAAAACAGGGTTTACTGATCTTAAGATCAGATAAAAAATACTTTTAGGACATCAGGGGTTTGTCCATTTAGTTTTTGTTCTTATGGGCCTGGCCCTTAGAACCACTGTGAATGAGAAATGCAGTTCCTGGCTAACATCCTTGAGAGTTTATAAGCCCCAGCACTTCGCTTGAGGTATAAACAGACTTAAATAGCACCATTATGGGACAGGTGTCTGTATTTCTGTTTTCCTATATAAAATAGCTCTTACTAAAGACATTTCATCTTAGAAAACTTTCATCGTGGATACTCTACCTTCAAGATATTCTGTTGCTTAAAGATGAGCCTCTTCAAGGGAAAAAATACATATCTTGGTGCAAATATTTTATTGATGTAATATATAGCACAGTTGGAAATGAAGAAAGGCTAAACAGTCTGATGTTAAAACATTTCCACAGCTTCAGTGATTGTATTGGTCTTTTTTTTTATGGTCATTTACACAAAATTAGTTTTGTAATGAAGAGCTGATGTGCTGTAAATGCTACAAGGATCCCAGCTGACTTTTAAACATAGCTGATATTAAAAAGTGTGTGGAATGCTATCCTTTCAAGAAGGGGAACCAAGAGAATTCTGAAAAAACTAAATGTAAACCATCTGGGTTTGTGTGTGTGGCCATTTGTTTATGCACCTACTCCTTGAGAAGTGAGTTTTAATATGAAAACGTGATTTTAAAGAAATAATTATTATTTCATGCAACTACACTGAACAACTTTTCTGATAGTACTGGACCTCAAAATCTGACTTTTACTAATGCCACCCATGCCCCCCAAGAAGTTGCTGGTGGATTTTAAGTCTTATAGCAAGACTCCACATGTGGAGACAAGAATAAGTTTTGCTTTAAAATTTCTAAAAGGGATTTCTACAAACTATTTTATAGAATGGGTATTTATTGTATTGAGCGTGGTCCTATTTATAGTAGGATCTTTTTAAATTTTTGCCCTACAAAATGATAATAATGTTTTAAAATTTGTTGATTTTATAGATGTGGTGTTGTGGGTGCATTATTACCTTGCACTAATTGGGTAGCTAGTGCTAGAAATATTGGACAGGGAAATGGATAAAAGAGAATATGTACTGTTTGATCACTCCTGGATCATTACTGTGGCTCAGCCTTTTCTGATGTTACCATATCTGTATCTCTTTCTCATATATATACAATGGATAAAAGGAAGAGCTTACCTTTGTCTCTTGTAAGCTTGGTGTAAGGATTCCTTCTCAGAGTCCTTTCTTAATACTTTAGATGCTACTGCAAAGTGCAGATTAAGTTGAATTTAGATTATGACTAGTAAGCATTGGAATGTCTTACTTTACTTCCCACTCTGTATTTTGTTCTGCTTTAAATAAATGCTTTTAAAACAAAAACCAAGCCAAACCAAAAAGTGAAACCTAAAAATCTTTTTATGATTCTTGCTTGATCTTATGCTGTCATTGCATTTATAAAATCATTTAAGTTGGAAGAGACACTTAGGATTGTTGAGTCCAACCATTAACCTAACACTGTCAAGTCCACCATGAAACCACGTCCCAAAACACCACATCTACACATCTTTCAAACACCTCCAGGGATGATGACTCCACCACTTCCCTGAGCAGTCTGTTCCAGCGCTGACAACTATTTCAGTAAAGAAATTCCTCCTAATATCCAACCTAAACCTCCTCTGGTGCAATTTGAGGCTGTTTCCTCTTGTCATTTGTTACTTGGGAGAAGAAACTGACACCCACCTCACTACAACTTCCCTTCAGGTAGCTGTAGAGAGCAATAAGGTCTCCCCTCAGCCTTCTTTCCTCTGGGCTAAACAACCCCAGTTGACTCTGCCACTCCTCGTAAGACTTGTGCTCCAGACCCTTCACCAGCTTTGTTGCTGTAATCTGGACATGCTCCAGCATCTCTATATCCTTTTTTGTAGTAGAGGGCTGAAAACTTACCTCAGTATTCATGGTGAGGCCTCACCAGTGCTGAGTACAGGGAGATAATCACTTTCCTAGTTCTGCTGGACACACTATTCCTGGTGCAGGCCAGGATGCCATTGGCTGCCTTGGCCACCTGGACGCACTGCTGGCTCATATTCAGCTGACTGTCAACTAACACTCCCAGGTCCTTTTCTGCCTGGCAGCTTTCCTGCCACTCTTCTCCAAGCCTGTAGCGCTGCATGGGGTTGTTGTGAGCCAAGTGTGGGATGCGACACTTGGCCTTGTTGAAGCTCATGCAATTGGCCTCAGCCCATCGATCCAGCCTGTCCAGAGCCTTTCTACCCTCAAGCAGATGAACACTCCCACCCAGTTTGGTGTCATTTGTTGTTATCTTTTTCTGCTCAGAGGTCCATCTTCACATGTTGCTCTGACTTCGTTGCCTTCTACTGAAGTTCTTCCACTTTCTTTCTGATAATCACTGTACAGTGTGTTACCACCTCACCTTTGGAGTGTTCATGCCAACAGACTTGAACCTCTGTTGCAATCCAGAGCCCCATGTCCTAGTGGATCGCCTCCCCCACTATGGATCCCTCCTAACTGTGGTAACTGTGTGTCTGCCAGCATTCCCTGTGTCTTGTATTGTCTGTGGGATTGGGTTGGGTACCTTGAAACCTTAAAATTTGTGTCCAAAGGTAAAATTTAGATACTTTCGATAATTGAACTGTGAGTTCTCTTTTCTTAGGGCAGGAATAATTAGGAAAATCTTTAGTTCTTATGTGCTTTTTGGCATAGGAGGTACATAACTGAATTTTTTTCTGTTTTTATTTTAATGCCTTGGGCTAGACTGCTAATGTGAAGGCCTCTATGGTGTTAGCATACACTGAACTACTGAACTTGGAAGATTTAAAACATCTCAGTTGTTTTTGTACTATTGTTCAGGATAGGATTTTGCATTCTTTGTAACAGAGTTCGGCTGCAGGCTACCAGAAGGTGCGGTTTTGCTGGATCTAGTATTGTTTTCTTTGGTTATTTATTTTTATTTTCAGCCAGAGGGTGAACTGGATCAGCTTGCTGTTGGAAAATTAGTGTTGTCTTTGTTATGCTCAATCAGATCAATGAGCTAATCCAACTCACCCAGTGCAACTGGCAGCACAGCCATGCAGTCAAGCTCAAGGGAGAGGTTGCGAGCACCCAAGCAGGTGCTCCTTTCTCAACAGCCTGCGGCTGGACAGGTATAAGGTGTTCCTGACCAGAGATGATGTTTTCTGGCTATGTTTTGTTCCACATAAATTGTGTGTGTGTGTAATTACAGAAATATTTTTTGTAGACAATGTTCCAATAGAAATATGAGCTGTAATCAATTTTGTTTTCTTTAAAGTATGGTATATTTATTGTGAGGAGGACTCTGTAATTACTACTCTGCCTTCCTTTCCCCCCATATTATATATTGAGTCAATAGAATAATACAGTGAGATTTCTCGCCTATACATATCTTGAGTTTATGATACTTAAAGCTTTAAATAATCAAATGTTAACAAATTTCCTATGGCACTTTCCTCCACCTTTTATAGAAAGTTACTTCTAACCTATGTTTTTTGATAATGTTATGATATTATTTCCTCTGAGGTATTTGGGGCCTCCTGTTTTGTTAGGAGCAGGCCATTTAAGCATGAAGGCTGGAGGACTACTGTGATAATGTGGTGGGGCTGGGCAGCTGACTAGATATGAACACTACTTACTGACAGCAGCGATTCCCACTGCAGATGGTGTTTTCTGAAAAGAAAACTGCTGCTTTCAAGGATTTTGTAACAGCATTTTCTGAATGGTTAGCTGACGAGTGATCTTTAAAAGGTATTTTACAGTCTGTAGCATATGAGAAGGGAAGAGATCAATACTTTATGCACTGTAGATCAAGAATGGTAAGAATAATGTTTAATAATTTGAGAAGGGTTTGATTTCATATCTTTCTGGATTTTTTTCTACCTTGCTCCAATCTGACTTGCTGGTCTGGCATTTTTTGTTTCCGCAGGGGAAAGCTATGTGTGTGGTTCCATAGAACCCTTCAAGAAACTGGAGTACACGAAGAATGTAAACCCAAACTGGTCAGTGAATGTTAAGACAACTTCTACTTCTCGTTCAGTGCCATCTCTTGCCACTGCTAAAGGAGGTACTTCAGATGCAAAAGAGAATAAGGATTTCATTAGACCTAAACTAGTCACTATCATCAGGAGTGGAGTGAAACCACGGAAAGCAGTCCGGATTCTGCTCAACAAGAAGACAGCACATTCATTTGAACAGGTTCTTACTGATATAACTGATGCCATCAAGCTGGATTCAGGGGTCGTTAAACGCTTATACACACTAGATGGGAAACAGGTAAGAATTTTCACGATGAACATTCTCGGCACGAAGAAAACATAATTTTCCCAAGGGAAAAGAATAGTACATTGGTAAAAAAAATATGCTTTTCTCTAGAACATAGTAGGAGGCCTCCTACTGCTTATAGTTTACTTAAGATCTGTGAGCAGTTCAGGAACATATCCTGAAGCATTGCTTGGCCTCAGTGATGGTATTGCCATTTGTGATAAATAATAGCTCTAAATCTTTTAGTTGAAAGTGTGATGTGGTTTTGGCTCTAAATGCCGGAAATGTAGGATGATGGATGCAATTTTAAAGAAGTTCATTCTGTTAACTTGTTTCAGCTTTTTCTTGCAGCAGTTTTATGAGTCATTGTGCTTTCCTTTCCGTAAACTGTAAGAACAAACAGAGAGGACACACACCACCATGATAAATGCAGGCCTACTGCTGTCCAGAGTGACCAAATGATGACTCTTACTGTGGCTAGAATGGACTATGAAGAAGGTGCAAGTTTAGAAAAAGAGTGAGCTTTTTCCCTGTTGCAGGAAAACAGGTAGGGTTATGTGTGGTACTCACATTTATTGAGGAGTCTCTTGTAGGACTCTTCTATGAAATACTTTCAAATGTTGTCTCTTTTTTGCTGACATTAAATTGCAGTAAGGTGAGGTTTTTGAGAGGCTTCTTACTGAACTAGGGAATGGAGGGACAAGAAAAAATATTACAGAGTAATCCTACTTCTCTTTTGCCTTTCACTTTATTTGTAATTTATCTATAGACATATATTAATTATAGCAAAAGTGGAGAAGCTGTTAACCTGGTGAAGGACAAGACTAATTTCAGCATGACCTGAATTGATTTAGAGCAGTAGTGGCTCTAGAGAAATAAGGCAGATATCTGCATTTACAGACATAACTTATTAAACTGAAGAAATGATAGAGGTATAAAATGTGGGTAGAAAGATGAGTGAACAGTCTCCCTGAGAAGCTAGAAGCTGCTATAGACCAAGATATTTCTGCTGTGATATAGGTGTGTTTTACAGATTCTAGGCTCACTGATTCACAGATACACAGCTAACAGTGTAGCTATTAGGAGGTGCTGTAAAATATACTTGATTCAGTCAGATCTGGTGATGATCCTAATGTGTCTGCAGTTACTAGGGATAATATGTAGGCATAGCTCTGGAAACAGCTACAGCAGTAACCTCTCATCTCAGAGAGGGCTGGTTAACGGGCAAGCTGCTTATTCAGAACACTGGTTCAAATCGGGGCTAAGTCTGGCTTGACCAGAAGTCCTGTCTATCTGCTGTTTTGTATCTGTAACCTCTTGACACCAGTTACAGACAGTAGTTCAGTTCTTGATGATTGCACGCATGCCCGTAGTGATCCCATTACTGTGGCTTTGTTGGGAACTTTGACCTGGGGCAAAAATGTGGATGTGAAGTTCTTTTTGCTTGCAGCAAAGGTAAAGTGAGTGTCTGGGGAAACTCTCAACTCCTGTTCTTATCTTGGCTCATGCTCCAGGGAGTACTAAGGTTAGTAAATCTGAGGAAGGAGTTGGGCTTTTAAAGCTGCAGAGATCAGTAGTGGTCTCTCCTGTGACCTTGATGGAAGATCTCGAGTGACTATTCCAGTTCCTGCAAAACCTCTCAACAAAAATAGAGGTATTGTATTTGTAGATAAATGTTTGGTATTGTATATGTAAATAAACCTTTGGTTTAGCTATCAAGAAGTGCAGCCTGGAAAGATGTCCTCATGGCCTGTTGTCTTCTGGATAATGTGCTCACTTTTATTTTTGTTTATATTCCAAACTCCTCTTCAATGGTTGTGCTTAAAATGAAAAAAAAACCCTTTAAACCTGTTTTAGAGCTCTAATTGCTGAAAGTAAATAGTCTTATCCTGCTACTGGGGGGAAAAGGAAGACCAGGCTTTCCTGGCCCTGATGTTTTCAAAGTCCAGTTGTCAAGTCATGGGATTTGAGATGAGCTTAAATCGGTGGTATACTGGGACATTTGTTATCTGACTCAGAGCCTGAAACCCTTGTGTCTAAAGGCTCTCACACAAGATTGGTGTCCACACATACCCACTCATTCCCATTCTGTCTATTTACTTGAAATCACATAGCTGGCTGCCTAATCCTACTGGTTAGGGCAGGGTTTGGGGGAAGGTGTGTGTCCCCCCTGCTAGGGTAACAGAGACTTTGCTCACTGCACGTACAAAGCAGCTTTGGTGGCAGAGAGGGAAATGAATGATCCCGTGCTCAGCAGGAGCAGCCTGTTGCTCGCCCCTGCGTGGGGAAGTCATTGATTTCCTGTGCTGCTAGGCAGTTGCTGCTCCATTTTTCTCTGCCAAAAGCCTGATCTCCCAGATGGCGTTGGGGGCATGATAATGGATTTTTTTTTATTATTGCTGAACTCAAGCTGTGAATGATTACTGGGAGGAAATCCATGGTAAATCCAGAATTTTTCCAGTAGTGTTTATAGTTGGGAACTTCGGCTGTGACTCCTGTTGGAGCTTGAATTGACAAAAATTGACAAGTCTCATATATTATTAGTGCAGATGGGAAATGAGGTATGTATACCCTTGTTGGGTACTATCATTAGGTGCCTTGGGCTAACCAAAAGCATCTGAGTTAAGGTAGTTGTCCCATACTAACACTGCGGATTGAGGAATTGAGCTTAAATGCTGTCCCTCCAACATCCTGGTTAGTTGTGATGTTTTGATCACAGAATCACAGAACGTTAGGGAT